TAATAAAAAATTACTACATATTACTTACTAAAAGCAACCTTTAAATAAAAATGATATTTTAATTCTGAAATCAAATTTCTGATAATAAATATTATTTTTTATTAATAAAATTAATCCTAAATATAAACATTCTTTTTATTTTAGCTTGAAACTTTTTTTTTATCATTTTAGCTATCTTTATTTGACAATAAATAATAAATAAAATATCATCTACTTATCTAAATCTTTAATAGATTAGCCATGCAATTAAGCGCCAAGTTCGTCTTGGTTTAGATATAATGAATGGAGCTGATATTGAAACTGCAATTAAAGATATTCGTGGAACATCTGTTGCGCATTTGGAACCAAATCGAACAAGTAAATAAAAAATAATACAAAAAATTATTATATACAATATAAACTAAATTGACTTACTTTAGATCAAAACAAAAAACAAAAAAATACACTGCCTGGTAATTCGAACTTATTTGAATGGAATTGGCCACTTGAAGAATCTATGAGAGGCTATATTCTTGCTCGAGAAATTCCTAATATTGGAGAATGGACAAAATTTTCAATAGCTAATTTGCAAAAAAAAATTGAAATTCCCCAACCTATAGTATCAACTCATACAGTTCCTAAAAATAAATGGACAATCGCTATGCCAAATATATCAGGTAATAGAATATTACAAAATCTAAATTTACTACTAATTAAAAATTAATAGCACACATCGTATAATATATTATTCAATGATTTCAATTTTACTTTCAATCAAGGTATTGATCCTAAAAGATTAACAAAAGAACAGTTATTATTTGAATTAACAAAACGAAATATAAAAGCTGATGAAACTATAAAAAGAGACGAGTTAATTAAAAAATTAGAACTTGCCATGGCTAATGAAATAAGAATAGAGCCAAAAGGTAAAAAATAAATAAACAAATAAGAAATATTATTGTGCAAAACATAATTACACTTTTTATTTTGAATTTTATAATGTAATTATGATTATTTCAAATTATCATAGCCAATTAATAACTTGCACGATAATGTCTATATTAGATCATGCAATAATAAATTTGTTTAACAAAGACAAGTTGTTGCTACTATGCAATACATAATAATCAGTACCATAAACTGCCGTATACAAGACTCCTAAGATATCAGACCCCCTATGTACTATACCCGGGTCTATAACATAGGATATGTAAGAGACCCAGGGCATACAAATAGGTAAAATAGAATAAACCCCAATTATCAAACCCACGGGTCTAATTATAGGTTTTAAAATTGGTAAAATGAATTAGACCTGGGTCTTGTATGCAGTCACGGTAATTTGCTTTTGCTAAACAAGCGTCATGTTAATATTATTGCAACGATCAATCATATATGAGTGCTGCTAAAGAAAATAAAACATCAGTTTTTAAAATATAATATTGTTTATATATTTTTAAAAACCAATATCCTATTTCTTGGTAGTACTCATATATTCCTAACAAAATATCTAACAAATTGGCTATTATATATTCAAAGATGTTTCTAATGAGCAAGAAAATCCAAATATAATACGGTAAGCAAATTGTTTTAGAAAGTTTTTATATTTATTGAATTATAAATTTACCTTTCAACAGGGATTTCTTTCATGAATTTCCCTTAGAGTTTGGATGGGCATTAAAAAGCAAGCAAAAATATGGTAAAAAAGGAACTGGAAAACGTATATCTAAAAAAGTATGGAAGCTTTTAGAAGAATATTTTTTAGAAGGTGATGTTGATAAAAGTAAAAGATTTACTGCCACTAGTATGCTAGAATGTTTAAAAAGAAAGGTTGAAGAAGGAGAATTAGGTGATGATGAAATTCCAAAATTACAAACCATACAAGGTTGGATTGCTCGTTATTCAGCACAACATCGTCAAAAAATGGCTGAAAAGTCAATGAAGATATCATCCAATAATTACCCTTAATTAAACAAGCAGTATTCGATTTAGCATTGACTGGAATTTGAAAGCATACTAGACTTTTAGACTTCCTTGATATTCTGGTGGTTTCAATAAAAATTCTACTAAAAAAATAAGCTCTCTAGAATAAATATAACATATATATAGCAATTAGTATTAACCAATTAAAATAATTATGCAATAAAATTATGAGTATATCGTTGTAAGAGTTATAAATATATAAATATTACCTTTTAGAAATCACAATCATAAAATAATTGAGGTATAATTTTATGAGATTAGAGATTAAGGGCTTTAAATTATGGACAGCTTTTACTTGTAATTAGAGGTGCAGGCGAATTGCCGTAGCTTGTCGTTAGTGATGCGGTAGAATCGTCCCAATGAAGTCCCAATGAATTTTTGAGATACGGCAAATTGCTTATTTGTAGCTTAAGAAAAAGTTATGCCACGCTGTAACTTTTCATATCAAAAAATCCATTGAGACTTCATTGGGACGACTCTACCGCATCAATGTCGTAACATAATAAAGCTACTGCAAAAATACCATAAATCATTATAATTATTACATATTACAGAGGTAATTATAACAAGTTATGGCATAATTGGGACGATTCGCCTACATCACTACTTTGAGATTTGTCTAAGGTCTAAACGGCTCAAGATCTTAAAGATCATAAAATGCCAGATTCTAATAATTCAAAGTTTCAAAGTTTCAAATATTTAGAATCTCAAATATTCAGAATAGTTGAGTCTTGCTCTGAAATATACTAATAAGAGATATTATAGTATTCAACTTACATGACTTAAGGCAATGGCTAAATCATATATTCATTATGTGTTGCTCTCTCTCTGTCATAATTATATAAATCTTCAAAACCTTGCTTCAAGATTCTAAATACTCTGGATTTAAGATGAACTATCAGAATTCTTATTATGCTTACTAATATCCTTACTGTGTTAATATTCAAAAAAGGTTCTATTAACAACTTATATCTTGTCAAATTTACCATTAAAAATATAAGATCAATTTCTCAAAAAACTTGCCGGAGGTTCTTGGGTTCGCGATAGAAACAAATAAAACAGTAAAATAAGTATGAAATAAAAAATTTTTATGATATAATTCGTAATATACACGTAAATTAAAAATCTAAATTGCAAGTTCATACGTTCAAATTAGCCTGGAATCTGCCTTTCCCTCAATCTAAAGTTACCGAAAACATTATGCAATATCTAAAATTTTAAGCGTATAAAGAAGACTATATTTATTATTACATTTTTCTAGTAAAAATAGTTGCGCAACTTCCTGTTGGGTGACTCTCGAATATATTCAAAGAAAAGGATTTTTTTAAATATACTATATGACCTATCCCCGATTTAGTATAGTAATTTCTCTGATTGTTACACGGATCACGAATTAA